TTGTCAAATAATAAATAAACTAGTGGAATTTTCCTATATCATTTAATTGTGTACCCATACAGTAGAACCTCGATAAATTAATACCCGATAAATTAATAACCTCGCTTAAATAATAAATTTTCCCGGTCCCGACTCGGGGACAACGTGCTAAATTAATAATTCGCTAAATTTATAAGATAATACACATTCGAAAATTTTAAGAAGCTCCATATAATATATAAATTAATAATGCATAAAAATAATTCTTAAATTACATGGTATAGTACATATTTTATAGATCTATGAAAGCTTAATACAATATAATTTAATTGTTGCTTGTTTCTTGTTGAAGTTCACATTACCATCAATCTCGTCCCTCACTTTTCTTAACATGGCTAGAACTTTCGGTATTGTTTTGTCATAATCAACATAAAATCGTTATATACCATTGCTGCTTTAAGAGCTTCCGTTCGTGAAACGAGCTCTATAATGCATTGAACTAATGATACAATGAATAATACACATAAAAAAAATAAAAAAAAATGTATTTATTGAAAATAATAATAAAAGTACTTTCATAAATTAATAATTTATTAATTAATGTATAAATTAATAATTATTAATTTATCGATAAGTTAATATTTCGCTAAATTAATGAAATTTTGATGGTCCCAACTGTATTAATTTATAGAGGTTTAACTGTATATGACTATAGATCAGCTGATCAGTTCACTATATGCCTACTACATATATATGGTGCCACTTGATCACTCTTATATTTTTATAATTCATTATAATATGAATTAAATATTAAAATAAATTATATTTATATGAAAAATATGAGATATTCTCATAGTCATCTAAACTGAAACATGATCCTTAACAACTGATCTTCAGCCGGTCTAGATTGAATTAAATAATTAAATAATTAAATATTAATTATGGCTTCACTAAATATAATATTACCTCAAACTCCTCGAAAGGCCAGACATCTTTTCCCCCCTTTCATCACAATATTCATATTTTATATACATTTAACCTAATTATTAGTGTTGCCTTTTTCTTATCTGCTTTGCATCTATATATTCACTTCATCTTCATAATCACCACCAAAATTAAACCATATACATACATTTTTTTATTTTTCTAAATTTCCTGCTATGTACTATTATTCCTTTCGTCTCGAATCGTAACTGCAATTGAATGGTGGAAACCATTTGCGATTTTGTGCCTTTCTCTCTCTCTTCCTCTTTCTCTCTCATGATCGTCTTCTTTCGGTATTATATATATATACACGTTCTTGTTACGTTCATGCAAAGAGTCGTGGTTCCTTGAATTAATTAATTATTAGTGTGGTTACGCGTTAGTTAAATATGATTCTCGTCGATAATTACTACCCGATGACTACGAAAGGGAAGAAGAGGCCGAATAGTAGTGGTGGTGAGAGGTTCTTGATTAGTATTAACGTAATTGGCAGCGCCGGACCAATCAGATTCGTCGTTAGCAAAAACGATAAAGCCGATTCGGTTATTGAAACGGTGCTGAAGAAGTATGGTAGAGAAGGGAGGCTCCCAATTCTTGGCTCTGTTGTCACTTCTTTCTTTCTCTACCCTGCTAATGCTGCTGGATTTTATGGTATATATTATATTAATTAATTAATTAATATATTAAATAATCCTTAATTTAATTATTTAATGATGACCAGAAATTTAATTAGTTAATTACTTAATTGTTTATTCATTTTTTAAATATTGCAGCATTGAAAGGAACGGAAGCAATAGGGTCGAGAGGGTTAAGGAACTTTGTGTTGTGCAAGATTAATAATAGTAATAATAATAGTAATAGTAATGGGTCGCCCTCATCGGTAAGTGTAGGAAAGCAGAGTGGATGGCGAGCATGGCTACAAAAGTCTTTGAGCATCAAGATTTTGTCTCATTAATTAGTTATACTAATTATGATTATGTCGCTAATGTTATTTTCTAGCTTAAATATGCTCGGGTATAGAGAGAGAGAGAGGTGTCTTAATTAATAAAGGACGATCGAAAGAGTCATTTCTAGCTCGAACGAAGATTCAATTGTTTTCGGGTTTACAATGAAGAATAATGATACAGTTTATATGATGAATTTGAGTACCCAATGGCCCTACATAATTGATCAAAAGTGTTTTTTTTCCCCTAAGAAGTCCACTAAGATATATTACCCAAAAACTCCCATTTCAATGGGCCGATTGATTATTAGGGCTTAATCCATCGACCCAAATTCATAATCAACATAATACACTTACGAAGCAATTAATTAGCCAATTATCGATCATTAATTACAATTAGAGATCCGGAGTTTGATAATGAATTAATTGGAAGAGAAAATATGAAGGTTAGTGGAACAATAATCATGAGGTTAATGTAGCAATTAGCAACCTTTACCGCCTTACAATTATGAAAAAATAAAGAAGACTTCTCAGTTCATAATAATAATAATAATAATAATAGAAAGAAAAAGAAAAAAAACCAATTAGATCAAGGAAAATTGGCTTAGAATAAACCCTGATTAAAGTGATTATTGAACATATTAATACTAAATAATGCATTTCATTAAACATATATATAATTTTTTTATCGAGCTATTCATTCAATATAACATTAGAATCTAATCAAATGAAAGTCCCTCAGTTTGGATCTCACCACCAAATATTTGAAGTCCAAGGAGTCAAACGTAATTATCCCACACCTGATGGGGCGTATCAAAAATATTAATTTTAAATGATAAATTTCACTAATAGCTGCAAATATTATAATTGATTTATAGCAGCACAATGAAAAGCTCCCATTCTAAAAAAAGGCATATCTCTTGCCTGATTTGAGTTCATGTGCAGTTAATCTCACTTCCAACTCCTAATTAATTAACATAATCCTTTTTAATTAAAAAGTAAATAAATTGTTAAAAAAAAAGTTTAGTGAGTCAGAAAAAGTGTCGACATTTCCATAGTTGGGATGATAAAGGTTGTCTAGGTAAGATTGAATCCTAGAATTTTGCTTTATCTTCTTGGTCTTCGTATATCTATCATTTGCTGATGATTGACACCTGTCTGCAGACATGATTAATATTAATTATATTTTATTATTTTTAGTATTTTTGCCCATTGATTAATGGACCTTCCTTAATTCGAGGACACCCGATTAATTTTTAATTTTTTTTTTTAATTTCAAGTAAGAAAGATTCTTATTGGTTAACACACAATTAAGTTCACGTGGGTTTAGCCAATAGAAAACCTTCTTTTGCAGACCACCACTAATTATTTAGTATTTATGTATAATAATGATTGTTTAAGAGCGTGGGATGAAGCACAACAAATTAAAGTCACCAATAATCAAGTACGTTTGACTAATTAATTAGAATTAAGAAATTACTACTTTCTCTTCATTTCTATTTTATTTGTCACTTTGGTTTTAAGAAAAAATCTATTTTATTCTTTTATTATTTCACAATTCCGATGAATCATTAGTTGTATTTTATTTTATTTTTTTCAATTAGGCCCGTCACCCAATCAATTAATGACATGGATATCTTAGGGTATGTTTGGAACCGTTTTTATTTTGTTTTCATTGTTTCCCCAAAACAAAATTGGATTTATTACACTTTTCAAATCATTTTCTCAAAACAATTTCAAAAGTTTATCTCTCATTCAGACATGATGTGACTGCTACAGTAAAATGATTGGACTGCTACAGTAAAAAATGTCTTCACTAAAAAACAAATAAACATCACTTCACCTTTAAATTTTTTTCTTCAAACATACCTTTTTCTAACACCTTTAAACATGATTTGACTTGCTACAGTGTATTTTGTCTCCTTCCAAAATACAAACAAACATTACTTTCATTCTCAAATTATTCCCCCAAAACATATATCCTCAAAATGAAATCAAAATAAGATCAAAAACGCTTCCAAACATTGCCTTAGTGATTCTTTTCCTTTTCGTATTTACAATTTATGCATATTTATTAAGTTTTTTAACATGTGCGCAACAAATAAAAATGACAATCAATATGAGAAGGAATAGTATCATTGTAGAAGACAAAATTGTTTCAAATTATTTGTCATACTAATGTCTTTCTTGTATGATCATGGTTCAATCGGGCCGACCGCATAGTCAAAATATATGATTCGATTTTAGTAAGTACTCCATTTGTCCAAATATATGTGTTTTTGCAGAGTTTGTATTTGTTCCAAATTATTTGTCACTTTATATTTAGGGTTTATTCTATGTTACATCAGGTGAAATACACCGAGTAGACCTTTATCATTCACACAACCACACACACACACACACATACACTGGTATGTGTAGATCAACGGTAAAAAAAAACACCTGGCCGGTGTAGTCTTCATCGGGTGTAATATAAAAATAACCCTTAGATAGTTAATCAATAACTAATTATAAGGGTAAATTAGTAACTAATTATAAGGGTAAATTAGTAACTAATAAAATAAAATAAATAAATAAACTCCAAAAAAAAATGATGATAAGGGTATATATATATGTGAGTTCACAAAGATAAACATAGATGGGTGTGAAAAATGTGGAAATCCCACAAGTGTCTGCCCGAAGCTTAGTTGGGCAATTTTTAAGGTTTAAATTCACTCAACATGGGAATAAAGTTTTTTCCCCTTATAGAAATTTAAATATGAACATATAAATAAAGGGTTGGATTTCCCACGTGTCAGTAACTTATAAGACAACGACGGCGCCATTAATTATACTTTCTTTTATTACAATTAATCCAATCTTTTCTCACACTAATCCCTCTTAATTAATTAATATTAATTCCCCTTTTTATTTCTTTAATTTTTTTATTTTATGGCCTATAAAAAGAACTTCACTTTCCATGTATAAAATTAGAAACTTCATTTCAAAGCTTAATAATTGAAGTAAACCTTCTTTCTCTTCTTCTTCATCTTCTTCTAAAATTAAAAAAAAAAAAAAAAAAAAAAAAAGTAGATTTAATTTGACCTAATTAATTAGGGATCTAATTAATTGGATCGAAGAAACCCTAGCTAGGTTAATTAAGGTCTATAATGGGGAGGGGAAAGATAGTGATAGAGAGGATAGATAACACCACGAGCCGGCAAGTGACGTTTTCGAAGAGGAGAAGCGGTCTTTTGAAGAAGGCTAAGGAGCTTTCGATTCTTTGCGACGCCGAAGTTGGCCTTATCATCTTCTCCACCACCGGAAAACTCTACGAATTTTCCGGTGACAATCGCAGGTTCTCTCTCTCTCTCTCTCTCTCTCTCTCTCTCTCTCTCTCAATATATATATATATATATATATATATATATATATATATATATATATATATATATATAAATATAATTAAAATATAATGGGATTTGACTGTATTTTCATTATTTTGGTACCTACTTTAGTTCTCTTAATTCGGCAACTATGGAGTTCATTGAGTCCATTATTAATTATTTTTTTTGTATAATATATATATATCGTTTTGCATGGATCAAGATCCGGCTATTAATTCCTTGAATCCGATCTATATATACATATATATATATATATAAGCAATTTTTAAGTCTGTATGTAATTTCCCTAACTTTTCAACTCGATTTGTTCGTCAATCCACTCGCCCAGTGCCAGTACTGAACATTGGATATCTGAAACCGGAATTTCAAAAATTGGATGAAAACTGCTGTTATGAAATCGGAAATTCTCGGATAGAATGTACCTAATAACATTGATATATAACATAAGTGTAATTTTAGGGAAATAAATTAGGATTTTTTGAAATATTTTCATAAAATTAAAATCAGATTTAAAAAAAATATCATAAAAACCGGAATTTGGAAGGAAAAATGTTAGTTCCAAAATCGAAAATATGGATCAGAATCAGCGGAATTCGAAATTTCCGTTCCAATTTCCACACATAAGCTGCTTATAGAGATATTCCACCACTTGTTAATATTGATCTTGCTCAGAAATCAAACAAATTGATTTTACTTTTCAATTTAATTTATAGTGGTTTTCAAACTTGAACAACTTACTATTTGCTAAATCATGTAAATTAAAGCACTACAAATTAATTTATAATGCTTTGGTTTACTGGTCTTTTGAAGGTATATCAAGTTCAAGAAGCAACATTATCTTCTAGTAATAATATTAAATATTTTTTATTTAGTTTGTGATAAAATTACAACACCAAAAATTATTAATACTGCGTTAAAAAAAATCAAAGATTAGATTTAAATTAAAGTGACATCAATTTGAACAATAAAAAAAATTGAATCATTCTTTATAAGTCTCCAGAAATCATTCATAAAATGTAGTGTATATATTTATTAATTAAGTATTAATTCATATAATTTCAGGGGTCTATATGAATTGTCGTAAATGTATTATCTTATAAATTTAGACAGTTATTAAGTTACCACATTGGTCACAAGTCGAGACCGACCGAAAAATGTTATCTAAGTGAGATTAGTTATTAATCGAGTATTAATTTAACGAGTTCTATACTTATATCTGCTCCCCCATGCCCTAGTCCAGTGCCATATAGTGAAGATTTGTCCTAAGTAATTATTTGATTGATTATACTTTCCTCGTGTGTGTGCGCGCAGACACACATATTACGATCGATTTATGATTTTCTCAATTGCAGCTTCTTGTTGGTCATTTTATGTTGGTGGTAATTACTTTGTGCACGTGCAATCTCTATATATATATGTCGATTAACTTCTCCCCGTTTTTTCTTGAACCGTAATGTCAGTATGAAATCAATTATCGACCGATACACTAAAGCGAAAGAGGAGCACCATAAGCTACTTAATCCCGGTTCCGAGATCATGGTACGATTAATTAATTATCCCATCTACTAATTAATTGTTTTTATTTTTGGCAATAATGTAGATTATTGTTTGAATAAAAACTTGACAACCACCTTGAACCCTAATCGTACTTTATTCACGAAATTCTCTAGTTGCTTGCTGATTGCGGTGCGTATATTCTAGTTCTATATCTGATGATGATTGTACATTTATTATGAAATATTTTTTAGGGTTAATGTGATCGATCGACTTTGGATTCGGCTTATTAATTCTTCTTACACGTTTCGGTTTAGTGTAGCTGTACGTTAATCTTTGCAATTGCATTTTCTATACTAGTTTTGGAAAAGGGAAGCAGCAAATTTAAGGCAGCAGTTGCTGGATTTGCAAGAAAATCATCGGTAAATTTTCTTGCATATATGTCACAAGAATATATATATATATATATTTATTGTTTTGAATTGAAATTAACACATGATGTATATAAGACAGGAAATTGATGGGAGAAGAACTTTGTGGGATGAGTGTCGACGATCTGCAAAGATTAGAAAACCAGCTCGAAACGAGCTTGGGTGGCGTGCGAATGAAAAAGGTCGAATTTAATTTATTTCCCTAGTAATTAATCTCCATTTAATTATATATATACATATAGCGATTTCTAACTTAATTGTGATATATATATGGTGCGTGACTAATTAATCAACAGGAACAAATATTAACAGAAAAGATTCAAGAGCTAAAGCGGAAGGTATGTAGGTTGATTGTCGATCGAACGAGCATACTAATTAAACAAAAAATTAAAGAAACCAAAATAACAAATTAAACGAAATTCCATCCAGGTGGCATTAAACATTACAATAAAATGCTCGTTTTTTTTTTGTAATTTATTTCAGGGGAATCTCATGCATCAAGAAAATGTTGAGCTATATAAGAAGGTAAAATTCATGGAAGAAGAAAACACGGAATTGTATCGAAAGGTAATGACGTAACGTATATGATATATGTCAATTATATATATTCGTCTTACGTACTTATATATTGATCGATTATTTAGTTTCAATGATATTATTAATCAGGCTTACGGAGCAAGGGAAATTTTTGTACCTAATAATGGAAGTGGCTTTCTTTCGTTCGGTTTAACGATTAACGATGGGCCGATTCAGCTTCAGCTAAGCCAGCCTGCACAACCAGATAATATTGAAACGCCAACAAGAACAACCGAATCAAGGTATAAAATTCGATAAAAAAAAAATTAATTAAAAAATATATATATATCTATCCTTCGTAATAAAAATTGCTGATCGACTTGGTATGACATCGTGTTCGAGATCAGCTTAATTGAAAATGAATTGTAAGATTATATTCGCTGATTTGTTATTTTGAAATACAAACATTGTATTCGTGTTGTCGTTGTATCGTGTAGTGATTCCACTGACCGTGTAGTTAATTAAAACCAGAAATTAAAGCTCCAATTCTTTTATGACATTATTAATGGATTAGTTACCGTTGAATAAGTACTTCTACATATTAAGCTTGAAAAGTACTTTGTTATATATGGAGTAATATTATTCTTACATATTTTCATGTGCTTTTGAAATCGGATTTCATGTGCTCAATATAAGCGTAGATTGCTCAAAAAAAACGTGGAAAATGCAAACGGAATCCAATCACGAAAACAAGCAGAAATGCTTCAACTGCACCGTGTATAGTTTCAATTTTTTTTTTCTGGACTTCGAATTATTACCAACAAAATTAGGTCCAAATTACTCAGTAATTAAACTAAAACCAAAGTTAATTATTGGTGAATATAATGGTCATTGATTTAATTTATATAAAAGAAAGGTGAAAATTAAATAAATGTATATTAATTCTGCAAATCTATAAGGTCATACTTAGATGAATCAATCATTGAAAACTATGGTTTGATCTATTTACAAGAGTATATTATTTCTGCAATCTATAAGGTATTACTTAGATTAATCATTGAAAACTATGGTTCGATCTATTTACAAGAAAAATCAATTAAATTGTTTTTTTGCGCTTACATATTTATAATTAATTAATACAGTTGAGACCAGCCAAATTCTCTATTAATTTAGTGAAATATTTTTTAGAATTTTGTCCTTAAGTCAAGACAGAGAACTTATTATTTAAACGAGATTATTAATCGAGGAAATTATATTTTCATCTCTCAAGTTTGCACCGATTTCACATTTGGTCCCCATGTTCACAAAAAACACATTTTGTCCCTCATGTTGCAATAATTTAGCACTTTTGGTCATTTTCGTCAATTTACTGTTAGTATGTTAGTTAAGACAGTGATGTGCACACTCTTGATTCGGTTAGTTTTAACGGAAAATTTACGAAAAGGACTAAAAGTGTTGAAGTTTTAAAACATAAGGGACCAAATGTGAAATTGGTGTAAATTTGAGGGACAAAAACTGTATTTTTGCCATTAATAATGTATCAATATAAATTTATGGAGGGAAAAACACAGTTTTCGTCCCTCAAGTTTGCACCGATTTTACATTTGGTTCCACATGTTCACAAAAAAACATATTTGGTCCCTTATGTTTCAAAAATTTAACATTTTTAGTCATTTATGTTAATTTTCAGTTAAAACTAATGGAACCAAGTGTGTTCTGTGACTGCCTTAACTAACGGACTAACGGTAAATTGACGGAAATGACCAAAAATGTTAAATTATTGGAACATGAATGACCAAATATGTTTTGTTGTGATATGAAATTGATGCAAACTTGACGGGTGAAAACTGTAATTTTCCTAATTTATGGAGGTTCTAATGTAGTAGTCGTAGATTTAATTGATAATTATATATTCAAATTTCTCACGGAATAAACCAAAACAGCATAGATAATTGCGTTTAATCACTTTTCTCTCTCTCTCTCTCTCTCTCTCTCTCTCTCTCTCTCATGTGATTTGGTGCTGAGTTGAAATTGAATTATTATAACGAAAATGGAGGGAAATTAAAAAAAAAAAACTTAAAAGATTAATTAATTACTTCTTATGTACAAAGTGTTGCGGCCAAATAAAATCCTGATCGGAAACGTACTGACAGCGGCGGCCGCACTCGTCGTCTCTGTGGTAGCCGTCGTCGAAGTTCTGAGAGTAGCTTACGGCGTCGTACTGGAAATTGAGGTGCCTGTGCCTCGCCGCCGCCGACCCGTAAATACTCTTGCTTTCGCTCACTATCTTTCGGAGTAGTTTCCGCAGTTTCCGGCTGCGGTGGCTCTTTTCGCCGCCGCCGCCGCTGCTCGCGTGAGCGCCACGGCTGTACTGTTCGTGCACCGGAACGCACGACGGCGACATGCAGCCAGAGAAATAGTAGGGCCGCCGGTGAATGCTATCGCTCATATTTTCCGGTGGAGAGAATATTTTTGAATTAATTATTGATGGCGGTGGCGGTGGCGGTGGCGGTGGTGGTGGGAGGTTCGGCTTTTATAGAGTTTGGATGTTGTGGGTGAAGGCATCCAATGTGGAGAGTGTGGACCAAATGTATTATCCTTCACTTTTTTTTTTTTTTTTTCCAATTATGTGGGCCCAAATAGTATATTCTAATAAAGACTGATCTATCGAATAGTATTATTCTAACTGTTGTATCGGTAATTACAATCACCCAACAACATTGTTAGAAATTGTAACGAGATAATGCATTGACTACGTTATTCCAATAGGATTCTAACAGACTGTTAGTTTCAGAAAGTAGTGAAGACGACGTTGAGCTATTAGTTCTAACGAATTATGTTATTTTCGTGTTGTTCAATAAGGAACCCGATTTTTAGTTTCTTTCGTACGTGTTGACCAACATGGTCAACCAACTTTTATTTTTATTTTTATTCTTTTAAAAATACTGAAAATCGAGATCATCGTCGTCCATTTGGTTCATTGTTGTCCTGGATCAAATTATGTTCGTGGGCCAAAACAGATTTCATCACTACGTTATCTACGTTATCTTTTTAAATTAGCCAACCAAACGGATCTTATCTTTATTATTTTTTTAATCATTATGTTATTTGTTAATTGGTTAGATATATATTGATGGGCCAATTGATTTGCTAACTAACTAAATTACTAAATAGTTAGCTACTACCAACTAAATTGCAACATTTATATGTTAAACAACATTATTTGTTTATATTTTAATTATGACAGTATTTATATTACATTTTCGATCTAAATATGTTTATTCAAGGACAGCCTGGACTCTATTTATTTTTCATTTATTTTTTCTGATTTATTGAAGAATCTTTTCGATCTTGTCTTTTGCAATCATGGAAACTGTACATTGTGTTAAAAGTGAAATAAGTGGATCAAAATAACTTGGAATCAATCGCAAATGAGGGGAAAAAATAAAAATAAAAAGGAAAACGAATAGTGTGCTACTATTGGTATATATACTTCTCATGCGTATAACAAGATTCGTGATAACATTTTTTGGGTTTGAATTCACCGCGTACCACGAAAACTTTAATTTTTAATGCATTTCAGTCTTCAGATACGTTTTGTGTCGGATTTACGTCAGACACCTCATGGGCCATTTTGTAATTTCTGAAAACTTAGAGACTTGTTTGAATAGTAAATTTTTAAATATTTTTATTACTTCCCTAATTATTTATATGATATAATAATCAATTGTCGATTGATAATTGATAATAATATTTATTTTAAATATATATATATGTATTAAAATTATATATAAATAATTTTTTACATGTTTATATAGTATTTGTGTTAAACATATCCTTAAACTTTTTAATGTTTATACATTTTCCCCAAGTTCTTGTATCCACGTTTTCTGGACATATCGTTTCTCCGCGTTCGTTTCACCCTTTTTCCGTATTTGTCGTTTTCGTGATCGTGCTAGTTTATGTGTTTATTTTCCATATGTCTATAAAATATGATTGCATCTAATTAATTATATGATTATTATAATTTATATTACGGTTTACATTTGGAGTAGATGGGCCTAAGCCCACTAATAGCTTCTTTTCCTTTTATTATTTTTAATAGTTACCTACTCAACCAATTAGCCCACTTTACCCATCTTAAATATCATGAACATATGAAAATCCTTATAACTATCAAAGGTGAAAGAGATTTTTTTTGGTAATAAAGAAGTCCTCGACCTCGTACAAATATATACGTGTTCCGGGTAAACATACACTCTCGCATAATAATTTGCAAATTATACCTGAGACGTGAACTGCACTAGACTTACCATATATGACAAACTCTACTTAGTAACAGTTGACAAATGAATTCGAACATCACTATTGTTATATATGTTTTATTTTAGGTGTATTAAAAAATATAATTACCGGATTTCATTGATTCCGCTCCAAAAGATCAAACTTTTAAAATTTGATTTGTGAGAATTAGTTTCGATCAAAATTAGAATCGGTTATTATTCGCCTCTTAAATAATTAGTCCACTAGTTTGAGAAGAGTTTAATAAAGAAACCTATATGAACAAAATAAATAACCGACGACGATACAACGAATCAAAAAGATTTCGTCAAAATTACACCTCATGAAAATATTATTAGTTGAAAGAATATTATCGCAATTACCCCCATTAGGGTGACATTGGTAATTGATTATGAATATTCCATAAAATCAGAAAGATAACGTTAAAATTCACATTGTAAGGGGTATTCTGGTAATTATGAATACGTGGAGATCTTTCCGTAATTCGACCTCGTTTCAAGGGTGATCAAATCAAATACTTGATCTACTCTGTGATTGATATTTGTTTAAATAAGATTTGCAAGATAAGAAAAGAAAGGTTCGGACTCGGGTCGACAAAAATATGCAAATTATGGGTGATTTGCTCCAAAATAGTTGAGATGATGACCTGTCTTCCTTGGGCGATATTTTGATGATAGCTTGCCGGAAATTCCGCCGGAGGAGTACCTGCAACACCGGGAGGGGTTTCCCGGCGTAGAAGCTCCGACGATCAAGTCAGTGTTTATCGAGAGATAATCGAGTATGGTATGTAAGAAAGAGGAGAGGAGTAATAAGTTGAGAGTAACTCCCTATTTATAGTTGAGGATACTTGATGGGCAAGAGAGAAGCAAATTTGCCCTAACTCACCTTCTTGGCTTGATATGGCTTTGGGCCAAATACAAGTGAAAACTTAGTCCACGGCCCAATAATTGATTAGGAAACCCCCCGAGGACAATTTAGTCCGTATCAACTACTCCCCCCTACTCCGAAGTCTAGAAGTCGTGATTAGACTAGGAGTATTATTCACATGTTGTCTTTTCGCCTTACATCGTTTTTTCTCTGATTGTATGACTCGTGCGCTTATCTCGCCGCATTGGCTTGAATGTCTCTAGCGATTTTAGATACTCGATTTGATAGGCTATTCTTGCCTATTATAACAACTCATTTTTGCTTCGATTTAACAACTCATTTTGCGCGATTTAATGCCTCGTTTTTCGCATCGGTGTAATACGCGATTTAACGCCTCAGTGTAATATGCATTTTAACGCCTCGGTGTAATACGCGATTTAACGCCTCAGTGTAATATGCATTTTAACGCCTCGGTGTAATACGCGATTTAACGCCTCGATGTAATACGCGATTTAACGCCTCGGTGAAACACGCGATTTAACGCCACAATGAAACACGCGATTTAACGCCACAGTGAAACACGCGATTTAACGCCACAATGAAACACGCGATTTAACGCCACAGTAAAACACGCGATTTAACGCCACAGTAAAACACGCGATTTAACGCCACAGTGAAACACGCGATTTAACGCCTCGGTAAAACATGCGATTTAACGCCACAGTGAAACACGCGATTTAACGCCACAATGAAACAAGCGATTTAACGCCACAGTGAAACACGCGATTTAACGCCACAGTGAAACACGCGATTTAACGCCTCGGTAAAACACGCGATTTAACGCCACAGTGAAACACGCGATTTAACGCCACAATGAAACACGCGATTTAACGCCTCGGTAAAACACGCGATTTAACGCCACAGTGAAACACGCGATTTAACGCCACAATGAAACACGCGATTTAACGCCACAATGAAACACGCGATTTAACGCCACAATGAAACACGCGATTTAACGCCACAATGAAACACGCGGTTTAACGCCACAATGAAACACGCGATTTAACGCCACAGTTTTTTGTCAATCCATTAGTTAGTATTGTATTAATATATTCTATCCAGGTGATGTATAATTTCAAATCTCATGAAAAGAGTTATTGCCATGGAGATATAGGCACATCATTTAAAAGAGAACTTACCTCGCAAGGATATTAGGAGAAGTTCGAGCTTTCATAGATTCGTATTCGAGGTGGAGATGCGAGCTTCATAGGACCAGTGCTAGATATGAGAGAACTACAAGCCTCGAAAAATCCTTGACGGGCATTGGGTCGTCGAGATTCGGTTAGAGAGCACCGAGATGACAACGTTCGATCCGGCGAAATCTGGCTCGGAGTTGTGGGAGAATTGGCATAGGAGTGCGAGCCATGTGAACGATAGCTCCCGGGGTAAAGTAAGTTTTCAACAATCCCGCCGAGGGGATAACTCCGAAAATCGCACCCCGAAATTCCTTGTTTTCGGGATTTTGAAACCTGATGTGTATATCGGTGTGGTTCTCGAGGGACGATATACATTCCTTCAACGATGCAATCTCGGGTCCATATGCAGCGAGTTGACTTTTGAGGCCTTCATTTCGACCGATATATCAAAGACACTCATTGCGGAGCTCGTTATACTTCTGCTCGTAAAGCAGCTGACTCACCATGGCATGTTGTAATTCACCGAAAACTGATGCGGCTCGATTCCCCAGATCAATGCTCTTATTTATTTTATTTTGCAGCTCAAACTGTAAATTCTCTTCTCGGATTTTTCTCTTATCATACTCTCCTTGCGATTCATGCAGATTGAATTCCAGTTTCTTACTTGCTTCGCGCGAGAAAGTATTCTCCGTTTTCAAATCGCCATTATCTTTAGATAACTCCAGTTTCTGCTTTTCGACTAGACTTGTCTCTTTTTCTGCGTCTTGAAGTTTGATTGCCATCTGATGCAACGCTTCCTTTGTATTTTTAATCTCGTCGCTCAACTGATCTCTGAAGTTTTGGTTCGATTTCTAAAAGAGTCGAAGCGTTGAATTTGCAGATTCTTGATCTTTCGGATAATTCTTTAAACGGGGCAATCCCGGATGATTTCGGAAAGTTGACGAATCTCACAGGGTTGGCTTTGTATTTCAATCAGCTGAGTGGCGAAGTACCGATAAGTTTAGGTCGATTGCCAAAGCTCGTAAACATTGGGATTTTTAATGACAACCTGTCGGGCGAATTGCCGCTTGATTTTGGGCGGTACTCGATGCTGGAGAGATTCCAAGTTTTTCCTCAACCCAATTTACTGGCGAAGTACCAAAATATCTCTGCGCGAATAAAGTCTTCGTAGGTTTGGTTGTGTTTAAAAACAAGCTTACATGAGCATTGCCCCATTCTTTAGGCGATTGCAGCAGTTTGGAAGTTGTACGGGCCTACGATAATAAGTTTTCGGGCAAAATCCCAGATGGATTATGGACGTCCGCAAATTTAACCACGTTGATGCTGAGCAACAATTCATTTTCCAGTGAGCTTCCGAATGAACTAGGATCTCGATTATCGCTGCTCGAGCTGACAAACAACCAATTTTCGGTCCTATTCCGACAGGAGTATCTTTTTGGAATGGACTGAAGGTTTTTCGGGCGAGCAACAACTTACTCAGCGGTGTGATCCCTCAAGAACCGACTGCTCCTCCATTGCTAACCACTGTCTCGCTGGACGGCAATCGATTTTCCGGCCACCTCCCATCGATGATAGTGTCATGGAAGCTTCTGACGACTTTGAATCTCAGTCGGAATCAACTTTCCGGCGAAATTCCCGCCTCGTTCGGTCTGTTGCCAGACCTATTATATTTGGACTTGTCGAAAAACGGATTTTCCGGCCAAATTCCACTGGAAATCGGCAATTTGAGGCTGTCTTCACTCTTCACTGAACCTCTCCTCTAATAGGCTCATTGGGAGAATCCCGAATGAATTCGAAAACGGAGCCTTTAACAGAAGCTTCTTGAACAACCTCGGACTCTGTTCCAATATCCCGTCAGTCAGGCTCAGCAATCGTCGGATTGAAATTCATTCCAGAGGCGTGTTCCCACAAACCGATCCGGCGAATACGCAGCTGTCAAGAAGATACGGGACAATGTGAAGTTCGGTCAGAAGCTCGATAAAGAATTCATATTGGAAGTTGCTATACTCGGCACAATTCGACATTCCAATATAGTGAAACTTCTCTGCTGCATTTCGGGTGAGAATACAAAGCTTCTTGTTTACAAATATATGGAAAACCACAGCCTCGATAGATGGCTCCACGGACAAAAGAGACAGCTCAGCATCTCATCGGGTTCTATCCGCCATATGGTATTGGACTGGCCCAAGAGATTGCAGATTGCAATCGGAGCAGCTCATGGGCTATGCTATATGCACCACCACTGCTCGCCTTCGATTATCCATCGAGACGTAAAATCGAGTAACATACTTTTGGATTCAGATTTCAACGCAAAGATTACAGATTTCGGCCTCGCGAGAATATTGATCAAGAAAGGAGAGCCTAATACAATATCGGTTGTGGCTGGCTCTTTCGGATACATGGCTCTTGGTTTTTTTTTTTTTTTTTTTTTTTTTTTTTTTTGAAAACCGTAAATTTTCAGAGTATGCTCAAACGAGAAGAGTGAGCGAGAAGATCGACGTGTACAGTTTCGGAGTGGTTCTCCTCGAGCTGATAACTGGAAGGGGGGCTCATATTGGAGACGAGAATTCATCACTTGCTGACTGGGCGTGGCGGCACGTTCAGCAAGGCAAGCCGATAATCGATGCGTTGGACGAGGATATAAAAGGGGCCTACTTGTTTCGAAGATATAAACATCGTTTTGAAGCTGGGATTCATCTGTACGAGCAAATTCCCTTCGAGCAGGCCAAACATCATCACAGACGACTCGGCAAAGTAGGGAGTCGAGCTCGTTTTTGAGGTGGATCATGATTTGTCGTCTAGCGTCGGAGTGGATGGTCGTTTTCGCGGCGGCGGCTGTCGGTGTGAGGGAGACTTTTTTCGATTGTTTTTTTTTTTTTTTTTTTTTTTTTTTTTTTTTTTTTTTTTTTTTTTTTTTTAAATACTACATTTTTCGATGGCTTGGCAGGCGATTTGTTGCTCGAATTTTCAAAACTCAAAGGCTTGATTTCGGACGAATCACCGTTGACAACATTTTTAAAACTCCGAACGAGTGTTGCTGGGGATGGCTCGTCGCCGAATTCATCCTCCGATTCGTCCGAGGAGAATTTATCCTCTACTACATCTTCGATCTCGGTGACTCGTTCATTCTCCGCGGTATGATCGGATTTCTCCGAGCCCAGATCGAATCCCCTCACTTCTTGATTATCAATAGGATGAAAAAGACCGAAATAATCCCATGGTGGCGGAGCAGCTTCTGCGGGCCCCGGTGTTTCGGAAGGCGATTCGTCCGGCGCTTCGGTGGAGAAACGAGGGGTAGTACTCGGCGGGGGTACCGAAGAAACAGATACAACGATAGGCACGGAGGGTTTCTCTTCGACTTTCCTCGAAAACGAACCCTCAAATTTCATGTAACGGGATTGGTACTGAGTGGCCGATACAGGTGTCGAAGGAGATGGTGATGTGTTTGAAGTTGCGTCCACATTGTGCGATAGAGAACGAGACGAGGAAGATAGGGTCGACTTCTCGGTCGAAGTATGAGGCTCGGTGGGGGTTTGACTTCTTGGGGGATACACGAAAGACTCGACATGGGAATCGGTTTCGACCGATCTCCTTAAAGCGGATCCGATAGTTTTGAGTTCCTCTTTGTATGCGATATGAGCTGCTGCGGCCTGCGAGAGAGCAATCTGCCGTTAAGTGCTCGCTTGATGAATTTCTTCCTTGCGCGACACAGGAGCAGCCCTTTGTCTTCTTCTAATCGTGAATTCGAAGCTCCCATTTTAACTCAAACGGGATTTTGTTGAATGAGTGTAAAGACTTGTCCATCTAATTCAATGATGTCATCATTTGGTAAATCCCGAGATCTGGGCAAACAAGTTTATGCAACAGAGTACAATTTAACCCAAAATCAAACCAATCCAATGCCCCCAAATAAAAGGATTCCAAGCACAAGATTTGAGCCCCTTTCTTGGTTTCCCGTTAAAAAACTCCCCAAGAAATACAGTGAACCGTTCTTCCTCGATCCTGCAGCTCATTATCTCCAACCTCATGGAGAAGATCCAAAAATTCAAATCATCTCACGTCTTAGCTCGAGATCTATTTCCCACAGACGGCGCCACTTGATTTGCTCCAAAATAGTTGAGATGATGACCTGTCTTCCTTGGGCGATATTTTGATGATAGCTTGCCGGAAATTCCGCCGGAGGAGTACCTGCAACACCGGGAGGGGTTTCCCGGCGTAGAAGCTCCGACGATCAAGTCAGTGTTTATCGAGAGATAATCGAGTATGGTATGTAAGAAAGAGGAGAGGAGTAATAAGTTGAGAGTAACTCCCTATTTATAGTTGAGGATACTTGATGGGCAAGAGAGAAGCAAATTTGCCCTAACTCACCTTCTTGGGCTTGATATGGCTTTGGGCCAAATACAAGTGAAAACTTAGTCCACGGCCCAATAATTGATTAGGAAACCCCCCGAGGACAATTTAGTCCGTATCAATGGGCTAATAGAACCTCTATTTACGATGCCCTTTGGCCCAACCCATAATTAAATGGTCGTGGCCCTCGTGGCCATATTTTAGTAGTGTGTGAAAATTGAAATGATTAATTACTCCATATTTACAGTTGAACCGGTTCGAGTAATTTATTCCGAGTTGCGACGGTTTATTTGGTTATGTTCAATCAGATCCAAAAATGAATAATATAGATAATGTAGTATACCATTTCACTGTAGCCCGCGACAAACAAGAACCAGAAATATTGTCCGAATTTCTCCCACCATTCAAAATCTCATCCCCAAAAAAACACCCATTACTCAAAAACCAGATATCTTCGTCTCTGCTGCGGATGTTTTTCTCTGCGCACATTTTAGAGAGATAGAGAGAAATACAGAAAAAAGAAGAAGAAGAGAGAAAAAAAGAATGGCGTTGGCTTTGGCTTTCAGGAGGCTTTCCTCCTCCGTCGACAAACCCGCCAAACGCGGTGGCTCTATATACTACATGGTCTGTTTCTTCTTTGTTTCTACGCTTACGTTGTTCTTCATTCTTTTTGTTTATGGTAAAGAGTGAGATATTTTATCTGTGGCGGCGCCGTTTGTTTTTGTGTTTTGCAGTCATCTTTGCCTAATGAAGCGGTGTACGAGAAGGACAAGAACGGAGTTACGGTATGCCCACCAACTGTTTGATACGTGGTCTCAGTGAAGAATTTTGCTCTTATTTTTTAGTAGTAGTTGTTTATGTTGATACTTGTTTAATTCTCTTAGAGTGAAATTTGCAGTGGCCAAAGCAGTTGAATGCTCCACTGGAAGTCGTCGATCCTGAGATTGCCGACATTATCGAGCTCGAAAAAGCTCGACAGTGGAAGGTAATTAATTATCTTCTTTCCTGTATTCTACGTACCTCAGCAAGATTACGGGGTTGGTTCTTCATTAGTAAAAATAATCATAATTTATTATTGGACACGGTCTTAATTGTTTTGGAATCTATGTTGTATATGTTGTAGGGACTCGAACTAATCCCGTCGGAAAATTTCACTTCTCTCTCTGTGATGCAAGCAGTCGGTTCGGTTATGACTAACAAGTACAGTGAAGGATATCCTGGTGCCAGATACTATGGAGGAAATGAGTAAGTAGAAAAAAACTTCTACATTTTGTTTCCCCGTATTTAAATCAGTATTTCTTCTTCTGAACAAAATTGTTTTCCAATTCAAGGTACATCGATATGGCCGAAACACTCTGCCAAAAGCGCGCTCTAGAAGCATTCAGGCTGGACCCTGCTAAATGGGGAGGTAAATTTTTTTACGTGATTCGCTAATGGAATAGTTTAAATATGTAAATTTAATTACCTAATCAAGTCGAACTTATCGGAACTATATTCTATAATGCAGTGAATGTGCAGCCTCTATCGGGATCTCCGTCAAACTTTCAAGTCTACACTGCTTTACTGAAACCACACGAGCGAATTATGGCACTCGATCTTCCTCACGGAGGACATCTCTCTCATGGTTATCAGGTACTTTCTAGTTAGTGTGCCGTTTCAATTTTTTTACTTAGTTTTTTTTTAATGATCATTTATTACATTGTGAAAGTGAATTTTACTCGTTTCCCTCTTCTGTTTGTACAGACTGATACGAAGAAGATATCTGCAGTCTCTATATTCTTCGAGACTATGCCTTACAGATTGGATGAAAGCACTGGCTACATTGATTATGATCAGGTAAGCTTCGTGTTCAACTATCGATCACGATTTATATATTTTGTTCCATATTTGTCGAATACGTAGCCTTTACGCAGCTATGGAGATAAATAGCAAATTATATTTCTCTAATGAATTGCTTTATTTATGCAGCTTGAAAAGAGCGCTGTACTCTACAGGCCAAAATTGATAGTCGCTGGTGCTAGTGCTTACTCACGTCTCTATGATTATGCTCGCATTCGAAAGGTAAGTTTTTGCGAGATACGTTTTTTTTTTTTTAAATTATTATTATAAATACACGAGCATGATTTTTCTTTTTTCTTTTTTCATTTGAACAGGTTTGTGACAAGCAGAAAGCAATTTTGCTGGCAGATATGGCACACATTAGTGGATTAGTTGCAGCTGGAGTTATTCCGTCGCCGTTTGAATACGCGGATGTCGTGACAACAACTACCCATAAGTCACTTCGTGGACCCCGCGGTGCCATGATCTTTTTCAGGAAGGGTGTTAAAGAGATCACCAAGCAAGGCAAAGAGGTGATGCGTTTTTTTTTTTTTTTTTTTTTTTTTTTTTTTATTTTTTTTTTATCGAGTTTTGAAATGTATATAAATTTTAAAACATGGGTTTTTAACTCTATTTTTTTCTCGAAGGTGTTGTACGACTACGAAGACAAGATCAACCAAGCTGTCTTTCCCGGACTTCAAGGTGGCCCACACAATCACACCATCACTGGTTTGGCAGTTGCACTTAAACAGGTTTGCCACCTTAGATATCAGGCTCATCGAAAATTATATTTTATGCACGTTTCTTCGGTTCTATTTTACTTATTTATTTACTTTAATAGTTTTGAGAAAAAATAAAATATGTTCCTCACATGTTCTCTTAATGCAGGCAACGACTCCAGAATACAAAGCGTATCAAGAACAAGTCCTGAGCAACTGCTCAAAGTTTGCTCAGGTACGACTAAAACATACGCACGATTTTTGTGCTCTCGCACACATGTGTTCTTTTTATTTTAATGTTCAATGTTTTTTGGCAATATAACCGAATCTTTATTAATGATGCCTTAAGTATAACATACTAAAAAAAAAGTCTCGATTGTTGCAGACTCTAGTCAAGCATGGCTATGAACTTGTTTCTGGCGGAACCGATAACCACTTAGTTCTTGTCAACTTGAAGACCAAGGTAAACTCTATTATATTTTGTGGAATAAGTATATTCTGTGTTGTAAAAACGACATGTAAAAAGGCGAAATAATTTCTTGATATATTTTTTTTTTTTTGGTAGGGTATTGATGGTTCGAGGGTAGAGAAGGTTCTGGAAGCTGTCCACATAGCAGCCAACAAGAACACTGTTCCTGGAGATGTGTCTGCCATGGTTCCCGGTGGAATCAGGATGGGTAAAACTGCTAATTTTCAATTATTTAAATATATATATAATTTCGATTATTAATTGTTTTACCGACATTTTTGTACGCGTTTTTTTTCTGTAAGGAACCCCTGCTCTTACTTCTAGAGGATTCGTCGAGGAGGATTTCGCTAAAGTTGCTGACTTCTTCAATGCTGCTGTGAACATTGCTTTGAAAATTAAGGCCAAAACTTCAGGTTCTTACTCGATCTCACCACCAGCTTATCGAATATATATATACACACACACACACACATATACGCATATTTCGAATGAGAAGCTCGAAAAAAAAGGAATTTATCGGCCATTCGTGATATTTATTGTGTGCTTGATTAATTAATTATGGTTTTGTTAATTTGATGGAAGCAATGTTTTTTTTTTAATTAGGGACAAAGTTGAAGGACTTTGTGACGACAATGGAGTCGAGTTCTTTCCAATCCGAGATTGAGAAACTTCGCCATGATGTTGAGGAATACGCTAAGCAGTTCCCCACAATCGGGTTCGAGAAAGAAACCATGAAGTACAAAAACTAAATCCAGGTAGGCTTTCGTTTTGCATTTGGATAAAACGATCTTGAAGTTAAAAGATTTTAAATCGTGATTATAAAATTTATTTTACGGTACATTTCGAAATCTAATCCTCTAAATTTGCATGACATGACACAGGGGCTAAAATGAAGAATTTGGAGAGGTGAAATGGGGAATGATGAACTAAAGATATGTGTCACATACTCATATTTGAGGATGTGAACTCAAATTTCCACAATTTGTTTCCTATTTTCTCCCTCAATATTATATTTATTAATTATTATTATGTACATTAACAAACAAATTTGGAATAAATAAACTGCGGAATATTTACAATTTTACAGCTACACTTATGCTTCTCTTCTTCTTGTGATTGGCTGATGGCTGTGGTTACTTCTTTTCTTGAAGTACTTGTAATTCTAAGATATTTGTTTTAGTATGATATTCAAGATTTTGTTGTTTACATCTTTGACCCAAAATCTGGTTCGTTTGATGTTATACTCGGTGATTTTCAACGGATTTTATCCTACTATATATGTGCTCGAGCGATTGTGAGTTAATTGGAAATAGAAAAGTACAAAACTATTCGACATATTTCACCAAATGTAACATCTGGAAAACCTATTACTAGACTGGGGATCACGTGGTCTTCGGCTCGAATTGAACTATATACTTAACACTACAAGTCCCAAGTATTTGAACAGTGAATTTATTTCAAGTGAAAAATATTAAAACTGTAGCAACTTGGACACTATAAGTTGTCATAAAATCAATTGGATAGACTCAAATTATAGCGCCCACGACATTCGATCGCGAATCGTTTCATTATCATACCTTGCGACATGGACAATTACCGCCAAAACATGCCAACAAATTTAAGTTTTTTGGCAAATTACGGTCACCCCTTGAGGTAAGTCAAATTATAAAAACACCCATTTTGTTTGCGTAATTACAATCACCACCATCAACTATGTATTTCCTTACATGCTCACCCTTACGTTGTCAAATTTATATAGGGGTGTTCATCCGGTTGGTAAATCGAACGAAAATTCGGTACATGCCGATTACTGAACAGGTAATTCGGTTCGATATTCATTTTTTGTTTATATTATTATATGGAATATTAGTATCTAAAATAAAACTAATTAAAAAAATATATAATTATTTTTAGTAAAATTTCGATAATTAAATTATTTATCGAACGGTACAATAGAAGGTATCGAAATTTGGCCTACCAAAAATTTAGTACAATTTTACCGAATGAAGAGTTTTTTGATAAGACAGTACATAGTTAACGCCTAGGGGTAGCTATGCCTATAATTATGAAAATAAGAAACGGTTTTTTTTTTCTTTAATTGAAGTTTGACTAATAATCTACTTCTCTTGTGAAATCGAATAATTCATATTTGATTAGTTTTTGATTTAGAGCCAATCAGCCAAACAGTTGTATTTCATCCGCAAGAAAATTATCTCCTCAAAATATGTTGAGATCCGGATGGAGGACCCGACCCGTACATCATTACCCACAAGCATGGATCCGAATTCCAAGCTTCTCTCTTACCGGCCATTTTCTTCTACTACTCATGGCTACCTTCTCTCTCTCTCGTTCTATCCAATTGCAACCCGTTTGCTTCATTAAACCCTACCTCTTCAAACCCAATTTCCAATCTTACCCCTACCATTCTCTCAAATCCCGACCTTGTCCCCTCTGGTCTTCCTCCTTCTCCCTCTGCCTCCTCCACACTCGCGCTCTCTCTCACCACCATCACCACCGCCGCCGCAGCCCTCTTCTTCCTCCCCATACAATCGGACCTAAGCCGGCGCGCAGGCCGATCCCATCCGTCCGATCCTTCTGCATTTCGGCTTCGTCGACGGTCGCGGAGATGGCCGACACCGGAAGCAATCCACTCCTGAAGGAATTCTACTTCCCGCCGTTCGATTCGATCGAGGCCAGCCACGTACGCCCCGGAATCCGTGCCTTGCTCAAGCAATTGGTATGTATTGATGGAATTGTTTTTGTATTTGTGTGCGTTACTGGTTCTGTTTATTTTTCGGGGGTTTAGTTTTCAATTCGGATTGGATGAATTTTGTAGGAATGTGATCTGGAGGAACTGGAGAGGACGGTTGAGCCGACGTGGCCGAAGCTGGTGGAGCCGCTGGAGAGGATAGTCGATAGGCTCGCTGTTGTGTGGGGTGCCGTTTCGCATCTCAAGGCCGTCAAAGATAACGCCGACCTTCGTTCCGCCATCGAAGAAGTCCAGGTACATCGTTACTTTCGTGTTTTTATCAATTTATTGTGTTCTAATGGTATGTATTGGTTAGTGTTTTTCTGTGTTTTTTTTTTTAATTTAATTTTGTAAATTGTTTTGGTCTTGTAGCCGGAAAAAGTGGCATTTGAGCTTAAATTAGGTCAGAGCAAACCAATTTATAATGCGTTCAAAGCTATTAGAGAATCTTCTGATTGGGAGGCACTGACGGGTGCACGTAAACGGATAGTTGAAGGTACTAATTGATACCTGTCTCTTATATAATTGATGTATTTCCATGGTCCAATGGAGTTGTTTCAATCTGCATGAGCTTCGAGTTGACATGTACTATGGCATTATGCTCTGTTGATTCTTTATTAATCTCGGAGGTTTCGTATTGCTTTTGGATATTTAATTTAATGGCTTTTCTCACTGACCAACTTTTGCAGCGCAAATAAAGGAGGCTGTTTTGAATGGTGTTGCTCTTGATGATGAAAAGAGGGAGGAGTTCAATAAGATTGAACAGGTATTTTTTTACCTAATTTAGATTTAGGAATAAATTTGAACTACTAATAATGTATGCCATTCATTTTCTCTGTAACGAGGCAGGAACAATATTGTTGTACGTTTAAATTTTAAATTTGTGTGCAGGAATTGGCAAAACTATCTCAAAAGTTTGGGGAGAATGTTTTAGATTCAACGAAGAAGTTTGAAAAATTAATTACAGATAAGAAAGACATCGAAGGTTTACCTGCTTCGGCTCTCGGATTGGCTGCTCAAACAGCTGTATCTAAGGTACATTCCGTTGATACGTGTTTTTTAGCTTAGTCTTTTCGAATCTGAAATATAGGTAGTTAGAACCCATTATTTACATTTCTGCCTTGAATAACAGGGACATGAAAATGCTACAGCAGAGAGTGGACCTTGGATGATTACACTGGACGCCCCGAGTTTCATGGCCGTAGTGCAGCATGCAAAAAATAGAACTTTACGTGAGGAAGTCTATCGTGCCTATATAAGCCGTGCTTCTAGTGAAAGTCTCGACAATACAGCAATTATTGACCAAATTTTGAAGCTTAGATTGGAAAAAGCTAAGCTTCTTGGATATAATAACTATGCAGAGGTATGTCTTGTAGTTTGTCCAAATTTATCTTTCTTGACATGCCCTAACAAGATGACGATCATCAGGTGAGTATGGCCTCCAAGATGGCGACTGTTGAAAAGGCGGAAGAGCTCCTTGAAAAACTTCGCAGTGCATCGTGGAATCCTGCAGTTCAAGGTAACGCAATACCAAAACCAATTATTTTGCATATTTTAGGACAAAGTATAGTTGTATTCCATTTCATAGATATTATAGGCATGTGTTGTAGTTTGTATCTGATCAATGTTTTAAAATTTTAGTCATTCATGTAGTTATTAAAGTGTACACATAGGGGTGCAAGTTGGAAAGGAAATTCCAATTTTTCGCCGATTCCGATTTGAAAAGTTCCGATTTTGGAACAACTTTTTTCATTCCGATTTCCGAAATTCTGGTTTCCGAAGTTTTCCGATTTTTTTGGATTGGAATTGGAATTATATAAAAAGAATTGGAATTTCCGATTTCCGATCCAATTTAATTTCCGAATTAATTCCAAAAAAATCCGATTTTTTTTTTCCGATAAATAATATATATTATATAATACTTATTTTACATAATTCAAAATAAACTAAGGATTTAATTGTATTCATATTTTATGGGCATTTCGAAGACTTTCTTATGCTAAATGTCACCTAAAAAAACCTTACTTTCTTTTACGTAAAACCCTAGTTTCTTTTACGTTTGATTTGAGTTTTGTTTTAGAATTTTGACATATCTAATTGTTGCTAGAAATTTTATTGAATATTTGATGTTGTTTATTTTTATTTCTTTTTTTTTTTAACTGAAATTTAGTAGTTATTGACGTGGATATTCTTATTTTTGGAAATTATGAAATTCTTAGAAAATTTCCACTAAGTTTTGAAATTTTAAAACTTATGTGATTTCCGAAAATTTTCCGAAATCCCGAAATTTCCGGGCCTTTTGGAATTGGAATGAATTTTTAGATCCCGAAAATTTTGGAATTGGTATTGAAATTGATTTTGTACTTCCGAATTTTTTTGGAAATTTTCGGAAAAGGTTAATTCTGATCTGATCCATCCGACTTTCACCCCTTTGTACACATTATCCAATTGCACAACCTTCGTATCAGCTGCTTCATTACCCTTGTTCTGTGATTGGGGGAAGTTACGGATGAATCCTCTTCGTTTCTTCTACTTAGAATAGGATGATATTGTTTTGAGACAATCTATATGGCAAATAGTTGGAACAAAAAATTGTTAAATTTATCCTGGATAATTGTTAACCAAGACAAAGGCATTCATCCTTACCAAATTGAATCAAGTAGCACTATCTCTATTAATTTCATCTCTTTAATTTATTTTTTATGAAGATATACAACTTGGGTTGGAAGATCATGGTGTGCTTGTCTTTATTTGAATCTCGCAGATATGGAGGACCTCAAAGTGTTTGCAAAGAGTCAAGGTGCTCCAGAAGCCGATAACCTAAATCATTGGGACACTAGCTTCTGGAGTGAGAGGCTCCGTGAATCGAAGTACGACTTAAATGAGGTGGAGCTTTCTCAATCCCTGCCATTAATTTTTTTGAAATTATTAGCTTTTTCAAATGTAGTAATTGCTAAAGAATGTTTCTGTGGCATTCTTTTCTTCTTCTTCATTTGGTTGCGCAATGTTTTGCTTTTATTGAATGAGTATTCAATAAGTTTGTTGCCTTTCTCTAAATCCAACAGGAAGAATTGAGACCATACTTTTCGTTCCCTAAAGTTATGGATGGTCTTTTCAGTCTTGCACATAAGTTGTTCGGGATCAGTGTTGAACCAGCCGATGGTTTAGCTCCAGTAAGACACTCCTTCCATCTGAATGTTTTCTTCTGTTCGGGGGCCAGATTTCATATAGTCTATGATGCATGGTTATCACTAACATAATATTTTTATTCTTTAGGTTTGGATGAGTGATGTTAAGTTTTACCGCGTCAATGGTTCGTCAGGTAGCCCAATCGCGTACTTTTATTTTGACCCATATTCTCGCCCATCTGAAAAGAGAGGAGGAGCATGGATGGATGAAGTAGTTGGTCGAAGTCGTGTATTGTCACAAGATGGTTCCTCTCCTAGGTTGCCTGTTGCTCACATGGTGTGCAACCAAATGCCACCTGTAGGTGACAAGCCTAGCCTTATGACATTTCGCGAGGTTAGCACATGTTTTTGCTACTATTAATTAGAGTATCGTTTTTAATTACTAGGTCTGGTTTCAGACCAGGTTGATGTGCAAGCTGTAGCTGTACCAATTTGAGCATTACATATTAAAGTTCAAACGATTCCCAGTTGCCAATTTATTCTAGAAAGTAGTCTGATGCTATGTATTATTCATGTATGCTAAATATAAATTTTCAGTTATTAATGAAGGATTTTTACATGAAATAACTATAGAGCCAACATCTAGATGACTAAGATGGAATAGTTTTATTTATCTTCTAAATAAACTACGCAGGATGATTGGGTCATCTTGACGCATTTTATTAATCTTGGTTTTCGTTATTTTCCACTTAACTTTTTCTGGATTTAATTTTTTCTTTCTGTTTGGTATGACTTCAAAGTTCATTTTCCATTGAATTTAACTGATTTCTTTTTTCTACGTTGGATTGTCATGGTGCCTTTAGGTCGAGACTGTGTTTCATGAATTTGGTCATGCTCTTCAGCATATGCTAACAAAGCAGGACGAGGGTTTGGTTGCTGGTATAAGGAACATCGAGTGGGATGCTGTCGAATTACCTTCTCAATTTATGGAAAATTGGTGCTATCACAGGTAGGGTATTTGACCTCTATTCCATATCCAATCTTTTTAAGAAGTAAACCAAAGAAACTTTACTTATGTGCTAAATCTATTTCCGCTCCTTTTTAGAAAGAGCGTAGGGTATTCCATTCTGAAAGTTAAATTCTTCACAACTTCTTGATCAAAACATTACATGTAACATACTTGTTTGTAATTTATTTTGGTGAGATTATGACACTCAGTTTTTATTTTGAACAAAGATTATAGAATGTGTAGGCGAAAAATCAACATATAATAACTTGTCATTATATTCCTATTGCAGTTTAAGATGATTTACTTCCAGAAGTTCTCTACCATTTTCATTTATTCGACAAAGCTAAACTAGCATTTTAGTTTTAGATATTTAGGCTTGGATATTTAACTGTTCTTGCTTAGTAATCATTTTGTGTTGTCATTTATTGTGGCAGAGATACCTTGATGAGTATCGGTAAGCATTATGAAACCGGAGAAAGTATTCCAGATGACATATACAAAAAGCTTCTTGCTGCTAGAACCTTCCGTGCTGGTTCTCAAAGTCTTCGACAGGTTCGTTATCTATATGGAAGCTTTTTTCTCGAATTTTTTTCTTCAGAATACCTCATCGCCCAAAATGATATGGATGTTTTCTCTTTCTTATATTTCCAGTAAACATATTTATTGCATTAAGTAAATCCTATAGCCTCTTTGAGAGAACTTGTACTAAACGACTAGCTTTCACACTGCAGCTTAGATTCGCCACTCTCGATCTACAGTTGCACTCAAAGTACGTACCTGGTGGGCCAGAGTCGATCTTTGATGTTGACAGAAGAGTTAGTGAGAAAACACAAGTGCTTCCTCCACTTGCAGAGGATAAGTTCCTTTGCGGTTTCAGTCATATATTCGCTGGTGGATATGCAGCTGGATACTACAGCTACAAGGTGATCTATTTTTCTCTCTAGTTTTTGCGTTTTTCCTCTCAAAAGACGAACTATAGGTTTACACGTACAACCATAAAACAAACAAATATTTAGATGCTTTCCTTAGTAGAGAATCTTAAATTTTAACAATATTATGTTGATTGCTCATATTTCGTACAGTGGGCTGAAGTTTTGTCGGCTGATGCGTTTTCAGCATTTGAAGATGCCGGATTGAATGATGACAAGGTATTCAATATTTCCATGTGGTATAGATACATGTATTATGATTGTATATATATACTGAACCAGTCCTCGTATATTTGCTACTTATTGCAACAGGCTGTAAAGGAAACAGGCCATAGATTCCGAGAAACAGTTCTTGCTCTCGGAGGTGGAAAAGCTCCATTAGAGGTTAGAAGTGTGACGATAATTACTCATATCTAATTTTCTCGAAATTCTTGAATATAATCATCTTTAATTGTGGTTGCTCTCTCAGGTGTTTGTGGAATTCCGCGGGCGCGAACCCTCGCCTGAAGCGCTCCTAAGGCACAACGGTTTATTGCAAGTTGCATGAGGAGTTTTATCGGCCAATCTTTTATCGTTTTTAGTGCCTTAAAGAAACAAACACATTTAGCCTTGTTTATTTCTTAAGGTTAAAAGTTAAATAAGACGTAGATTTTCATCTTTCATGTTTCGAAGTCCTTCGAAATTTCAGCCAGAACCCATCTGTTTACGTACATCAACTAAATTTCGGAAGATTGCAGAATCTTGTAGTATTTAAAATATTAGAAATTTGCAATGTCTACGAAATTACGCGGTCCTTTAAATTAAGTGAAAGATACCTTCTCGCGGTTCGATTCTTGTTTTAGCTGATGTTGCATTTTCTGTATGGTGTGTGAAAATAAACATCCGAGAATTTTGCTTCTTTGTCGATACCTTTGTAACTGTTTCCTAGAGTAACAAGTTCCCATGGATTAGGGGTTCGGAGTTAACGCCAGTGGTTAAGTAACAACGAGGAACCGACTAATGTAGAGACAACCTGTTTTAGTATTTACACAACACTAGAAATTGCAAAATAGTGTACTTATCGGCGAGTGTGCTCTTAATAATTTATACCCAAAACTACAAAGTTCGTTTATCTGAAAAAAAAAATCATGATCAGATTTCTATTGCACGATTGATTCCTCAAATGACTATCTTGGCAGCGGAGGAGGCGGTTGCAGAAGTATAGAGGATATTTCCGTCGGAATCGGAGTTGGTGGTATAACTATAGGCCTCTCTACAGAGTAGCGATTGGAGCCCCCGAAACTCTCGATGGATTTCATATACTCGGAAGCATTATTTTCGATGATGAAAGCATCCTCAAGCTCGCGAACAATGTTAGCCATGCACGGACGATAAGCCGAGTAGGTTTCGGTACATGCCAAAGCTACCTCTACCACTCTCCAC